CCTGGTGGGAGGGACTAGGACGCAAGGAAAGGACCCAAGTGAGGGAAACGGGGATGCAATTAAGAGACTTGGGATGTACTCATACATTCAAGCTAACATGCTGGGGACCACAGAAGAACAGAAAAACAGATTAAAAAAATCTGCAAAAAATTATATAAAGAAAGAGTAAAAGGGACACTAAGGAACACATTCTTACGTGTAATTTTATACATATATCACAGGCATTAATATTTAAATGGCCTTTTTGTTGGTACAGTATTTTAAAGTTTTTATTTACAGCTCAAACTCTTTGTAAATAACACAAACAATAGGTCTTTGGCTTGTTAATTTACACGTATGTATATATAATTTACAATAATAATCAATAGATTTATGATATCCTCAAATTTCTCTGTCTGTCTTGGGAAGCTAAATCCAGGTAATTCAAATTATTTGTCTTAATTTGAAAGTTTTTCTCTCTCTCTCTCTCTCTGCACGATAATGCCGTCATTTCCGCTTTCCCATCGTTCATGGTCGTTTATTTTGACATCCCCACCGGAAGTTCCGTAGATGTGGGTTCCGTTACCTTGATGCCGGTCTACGGTGATAACAGAGGCACCGATTCCTCTGGAAATACCGGCCAGATTCGGCATTTTCCAGCCATTAACCGCCTATAATGAGACATAATAGGATTTAACGGAAACTAACGGACCCACGGGGCGTGAAAAAGGTAAAATGAACCGTTCAAATGTCCCGGTTGACGGCTAAAGCCTGCTAACGACAGCTAGCCGCTGCTAGCTCGACAACAGTTTCCTTTTTATTTGCCCCCAAACCCCGTTTTACCCTCACTTCTCACTTCCACCCGAAACACCCCCACTTCCTCTAACCCTCCGTTCGTGTTACGTCACACACACTTCTGCGATGACGAAATTAAACCGTGAAAATCACCCGTTAATCATCTGAAAACAGTGAAAACATTCAGATTTACAGGAAGATTTCTGGAATTTTTTTCCAACAAAATAGGTGAAATCTCGCGAGAGAGAACGAGAGTAGCTTTGCGTCATATATACTGTATATATATATATGTGTATGTATATAATATATATGTTCATTAATTGACTTGTCTGAAAACATACTATATTATGATAGATTTGCCTTTATCACGCAGCAGCAAAACGTTTAAAAGATACTTATTTTTCCCTAAAGCATATCTTACAATTTTTAATATATTTTTACATTACAGTCATTTAGCAGACGCTTTTATCCAAAGCAACTTACAATTCAGATTCTAACACACCGCAGGGAGCAATTTTTTGGGGATAAGCGTCTTGCTCAAGGACACATCGAAATGCGACTAGCGGACCCGGAGATCGAACCGCCGACCCTCTGATTGAAAGACGGCCCTGCTCTCCTTTTCCTGTGATGTTAAAATAAGAATATTTAATAATAAAGCAAGAAGAAGCCTAAATTATTATTTTGTCCTTGATATTCACTTTGTAATATTAATATGTAATTGTATATAATTTGTATTGTGAATACGTCAAATATGAATTAATTAATTTTTACTTACTGTTTTCATGAGTTTCTTTTATTTTCTTAATTTTTTGTCACGTGTTTCTCAGTCATGCTCACTCGCCCGCTGACACTGAAGGAGAGCGACGACAGGGGGCGTGGCCTCGCAGCCGTGACCACGCCTCCTGTTCTCCCATTGGTTGATGATTACGAAGACACACAAACAGGTTGGGGTTGATTTATTATTTTATTTATTGGCATAAGTATTCCTTTCATTATTCATTTATGATATCAATATTTTATTTTTGTAATGTATTTATTGTTATTTTATTAAATAAATTAAAAGTTTTGGGCGATCGATATTAAGTACTGACTGCTGTTTCTCCTCCTCCAGAAGTTTTCTCTCCTCCTGCTCCTCCTTCTATTTCTCCTCCTTCCTCCCTTTTGTCTTCTTTTCCTTCTTTCCTCCATCCTTCACCTCCTTCTTTGATGTCTCCTCATGTTGTCCGTACCACACCAGCTTCTGTCTCTTCTTCTCCATCACCTCCTTCTTGTCCCCATCGTTCTCCTCCTTGTTGTTCTGTTCCTCTTCACAACTCTTCTCCTCATGTTTTTCCTCCTCCTCTCCTTTTTACTCCTTTTTATTATGCTTCTGCTATCTGTTCTCCTCTGTCTTCCTCTCCTTCTGTCCCTCCATCCCTTCTTCCCTGTCTTCCTCCTCCTTCTCCTCCAGTTTCTTCTCCTCGTCCTTCTCCAGTTTCTTCTCCTTCTCCAGTTTCTTCTCCTCCTGTCGCTAAATCTCTTCTTCCTCCTCCTCCTCAAGTTTCTTTTCTTCCTCCTCCTTCTGTAGCTCCATCTCTTCCTTCTCCTCCTGTAGCTCCTCCTCCCTGCTGCCCTTGCTCCTCCCTCCTGCCTCGCCTCCTCTCAGCTCACCGGTGGGAGGTGCGGCGCCTCCTGCGAGGAGCTCTGTCCTCCCTCGGTCGTCGCCTGGACTCTCTGGAGAGGAGCAGCAGGACGAAGAGGAGCAAGAAGAGGAGCAGGCAGAGAGGAGAAGGGGGAGGAGCCACCTGTTCTCCTGGTGAGTTCTGTCTGTTTTCTCCTTTATCTCCTCCTCCTCTTCCAGGACTGTCTGAGGATGATTGTGATCCACAGAGGAGCATCAACAACAACAACAACAACAACAAAGAGACGATCTACCAGGATGTTTATGAATAAATGACGATGATAATAATACATTTTTACACTTTTGAACCATAATAGATGTACATTTCTACAAATTGATCCAAATGTTAATCACAGAAATCATAATAAATTTAACCAATTTCTCAACTTTCTCTTTTCTTCTTTAGGTTTGGGAGCTTCCTCGTGTAGCCCCGCCCTCTCGTGTAGCCCCGCCCACCGCCCACCTGTTACCGCCTCCCCTTCATCATCATCTTCTTCATCAGACGGCGAGGACTCACCCACACCTCCTCCTCTCTCCTCTAGTTTGAGCCAGTCAGCACAGAGGAGGAGGAGCAGAGAGGAGGAGGAAGAGGAGGGGAGGTTAAGGAAAAGGAGGAAGAACCACAGAGGAAGAGATGTTAGTGTTTTTCCAGAAAACAGAGAAAAAGATGAAGAGGAAGAGGAAGATGTCGGGAGGTTTGTGGGCCGGATGGTGGTCTCCTTCAGGAAAGGAGCAGAGGAGGAGGCACCGCTCACTCTGCACAGGTTCAACCACAGGAAGCACAGAAGAAGAGAAGCGGGAGGAGCCGGCCAATCAGAGAAAGCCGTCAGTGTCGTCAGGCAGAATGGATACAGAGCGCCGCTACTCAGGTTCATTTCATTTATTTATATGACACATTTCATTTCTTTGAAAATTACTTGGATTAAACATTTATTTATATTATATAAATAAAAACTTTAATATTCATAAAATGTATAAATTACTCCTCCTTTTCTCCTTAGCTCCTCTTCCCATCATGCATTGCACCTCCTGCAGTCAGAAGCACTCAACATCTCTTCAGGCCAATGGCGTTTCTCTGACTTCACCTCTCCGCTCTCCCTCTCCTCCAATCACGGTGCTTTCCACATATGGCACCTATGCTCCTCCTCCTCCTCCTTTAACTCCACCCCCATGCTGCGGCTGTCAGTGGTTGCCGTGGAGACGATGTCAGACTCAGTGAGGGGCGGAGCTATTAGGAGTCCTCTGCGGATTCTGAAGGACTTCACGGTCCCGCCCAGTCTGAGCAGCGACCACTGGTTGGTTGACTGATATATTTAAATCCCCCCTCATTAATATTCATATATAATTAATATAGTCGTTAATATTCACGAGGACATTGTAACGTTTGTTGAATATGAATTAGTGAAATACTTTTAGTAATTTCTAGTAATTATTTTAACAATATATATAAATATTTATATAACTTTTATTAATCTCAATCATGTCATTTTTTTAAAAATAATAGATTCATTCATTTAGTGTCATCTTTATAATTATTGACCCTGTTTACATTTGGTTTTGTCTTTGCAGTTACGTGCGAATGCCTACACCAAGGTAATTCTAATAAATAAACACTTGACTTGACAATTTTGTCCATTTTTTATAAAATCGTAGTTTGTGTAATTTAATGTATGTCATTAAAGATAAATTATGAAAAAAAAAAGTTTTAATTTTTTAATTTGTTTTTGTGAATGTTTGTGTTTTAAATAGGATGTAAAAATTAATAAAAATCTTGTCTGTTGCAGCCCAACTTTTTCTGCCCGGCGACAGCAGAAGCAGCGAGCCAATCACAGCACCCGCAGCCTCCACTTCCCCCGGCGACGCCCACTGCCCCTCCCCCTGTGTTCAGCCAATGGGCTGTCTGCTGCTCCGCTTGCTGTCAGCCAATCAGAAGCGGGCTCTGAGTTTCTCAGCACAAATGGAGAGGTGGAGTTTTTTTTCTCTTCCTGTTGAATGTCAAAGTTTTCCCCAAAGAAATAGATCTGGAGAAAACCTCCGGTTCTGAAGTCAAAGCTTCATGTGTTAAAGCTGCATTCTCTCTAGCGTCCACCAGGGTGCGACTCCTCTGGTTGTATAGAAGTCTATGAGAAAATGACTCTACTTCTCTCTTGATTTATTACCTCAGTAAACATTGTAAACATGAGTTTATGGTCTCAATCTCTAGTTTCAAGTCTTCTTCAATACAGCATGATGTTCATTTAGTACATTATGGTCCATTTAGAGTCAAACAGACCATAAAGCAGGGGATGCTTTAGGGCGGGGCTACACAGTGATTGACAGGTCTCTACCAGAGACGTAGACGGCGTCTTTACGTCACTCCTCCTCAGTCTAGATATGGTCACTTCCTGTTCACTGGTTGCACAAAAAAACAAGATGGCGACGGCGAAATCGCAGAACTTAAGGCTTCAAAACAATGAGAGACATCACTATGACTACGTCCACTTCTTGTATACAGTCTAAGATCGGATGCAGCTTTGGCTAGTTAGCTAGTTGGCTAGGTAGCTTGACCTTCAAAGTGACAGAGAGTTTAGGTGGTCCCACCAACTGTGAGGCTTAATTTCTGTAACCAGTGTAGCATTAAAGCATGGTGGAATTAGCAAGCTAGCTAACGAGCCAGCTAACTAGCTTAAGTCTGTTTCGTGTATTCAAAAGATATCCGGGGCTCTGACCATCCTGCTACGTTGTTTTGAATGTTCTATGTTATTTCTATGGTTTTACTCTTTTTTTTCTAAGCTCAAGTCCTCAACTAGTTTTCTGTGTTTTTGTCTTCTCAGCGTTGTAAACGAGTCTCACAAATACGAATCCGCCGGGCGTCACCGCGGGAAACACTGCTCACTCCGATGGGACTGCCAAAGGTCAAAAGGTCAGCTGGTGGTGGTGCGGGGGGGGGGGGGGGGGGGGAG